CAACCTAAACCAAGATAATGCAAACTCTTGGGATCCGTTTGTTACACTGTGTAACGTGTGACTACCTTGGCTAAGACCAATAACCCACGTTTGGTAAAGGCCGAGACTAGTTTAAATGAGACTAGGTCAGACTAACACCGGCCCTGCGCCTTGCTAAGTGGAGTTATCTAGTCCCACCTGTGAGCTCGGTATTAAGCGGGATTAGACGTCGATCGGTGTGGGAGATGAGCATAGGGTGTGTGCGATGGTTGATGGTGTGAGGAATGAGCAGATAATGGATGGGAGAGATGCGATGTCATACAATAGCCCCATCAACCCAACTAAAACATCTTTTTTTTTTTTTTTTTTTTTTTTTTTTGAGGAACATACGATATTATCTGTACTATGGGGAGAGGAGTAGGCTAAGCCTCACAATGGACTAGCAATAATGTGGTTCAAATTTTTATTTGACGAAAATTGAACCTAAAACCTCTCATTGTGAAGAGAAATACTACTAGACCCGTACTAAGTGACTGCCCAACTAAAACATCTAATTACATGTATACCTTCAAAATTCAGCTCACCCGGGTTTTGAATGCTAGATCTGTCCCCAGTGTGGGAGATGAGTAGAGAATGAATCTAACTAGGGCAGCATCGCATCTGCAATCCCTTAAGATGATTTCTCTTTAAAATTGCCTCTAAATCTTGATTTCGTTTAAATTTATAACCAATTAAATTGAAATAGGTTGAATTTCGGGTCTTAACAAGTGTCTATTGTGCAATTACTGAATGCTAAGTCAATTCAGCTTAATCCCATTAGCAATTTTGTGGTCCGGGAGTCATTAACCTGCCAATAAACAAAACAGCTTGAGCGTTCAAAAAAAAAAAAAAAAAAACAAAACAAAACAGCTTGAAATTTGAAAAATAAAATATTATATTAATTTTTTTTTCAAGCTACCGTTGTAGAAAAAAGCGCATACATTGTTTTTTGGGTGAAAGAGGGATAGCGCGCATTATACATCAATTGCTCTCGTCAGTCTTCTTCCACGTTCTTACGCTTGCAATCTTCCACTCCGTCGATTCCCTTTCCTTGTGCTCTCTACAAACGACGTCGTCGTCTTCGATTCCGGCCCCTGGTTCTGGCTTCTCTTGCCTTCGCCGTGGCTGCCCATTCCGTGCCGTGAGAGACGGCCGGTGATTTCATCAAAACCCACCACCACCGTCGGCGATCAAAGATACGTTCTAAATTTTGAATTCTTTTATTCTATGTTTTTGGATTTCGTTTTTTGTTTGTTATACTTCAATTATATAATTTTGCGATTGCTTTTAGGGTTTGGTTGGATTTTCCTAGTTGATTTGGGATTTCCTGTTATTCCTAGTAGAATTAGGTTTCCTATCAGAATTGGGATTTGATTGTTACGATATATATTGCTCACATTTTTGGAAAGTAAAATTGCTGCCTAGTGCTTTCTCTTTCTGTCACCCAAAACAGATTACTGAGTAAACTACAACTGCGAGATTTCAATTTCGGTTTCGATTTCAGATATGTTATCTGTTAGGGCATCCCCGTCTCCGTCTGGATCTGTGTTTGATTGTAGACTTAATGGAGGAGCAATTGATCGGAAAGATGAGGGACCCAATTATGATTGCCGTAGAAAACGCTATTTTGATGGTAGTCAAAAAGGGCCAGGGCTAGGGTTAGGGTTTGACACTGCTACTTGTGCTGCACCTGCATGTCATAATAACCGCAGTAATGGAGGACTTGAACATCAGAGACCTAGGGCTTTCGTTGACGGCGCATATGGAAAAGACGGTAGTAGGGTTGCTCAATTGCAATCTGGGGCAAATCGTAATTTGGGTTCTGACTACCCTCCTCAGCAAGCCTGCCAGATTATGCCTTTCCAGATGCCCTTTGTGGTGACTCGTATATCAGTGCCGTCTTCTACTTCTAGTGTGGACTCTCAATCTCTCATGCTGGTGCCATCTGTGGATTCAAGGCCTCATGTAAACGTGCATAATTCTCACCCTCCCGCTCCCACTGTGCACTCAATGTTATCTATGCAGCAGAATCAGAGAAATCAAGGCCCTTTTATTGTAAAACAAGCCATGCCACTTCTACCACCAGGTCCCCCTCCTTCCCCACAAGACATATTTTTGGTTCAGAACCCTTATCCAGTTGCCACTAGCAACCAGCCCAGCATCAGTGCATATTCTGGTTTGATTACTTCTCTCTTGGCCCAAGGTTTGATCTCAGTGACAAATCAAACCCCGCCCAAGGTTTCTTTAGGAGTTGAGTTTAAGGCCGACCTTCTCAAGGTGCGTCATGAATCTGTAATAACTGCTCTATACGGTGATCTTCCAGGACAATGCACAACCTGTGGCCGTAGGTTTAAGTGCCAAGAAGCGCATAGTAAGCATATGGATTGGCATGTAACCAAGAACCGCATGTCTAAAAACCGTAAGCTGAAGCTCTCTCGTAATTGGTTTGTGAATATGAGCTTGTGGTTTATTGCTGCAGAGGCATTGTGTACTAATGCAGCTCCTAACTTTGTGTCTACTGAGACCACTGTGGAAAAGAAGAATAGTGATGAAGAAGTGGCTGTTCCTGCTGAAGAAGATCAGACTTCGTGCGTGTTATGTAGAGAGTGCTTTGATGATTTTTATAGTCATGAGAGAGAGGAATGGATGTATAAAGATGCTGTGTACTTGAATGCACCTGAGGGATCAACAGAAGGCATGGATAGGTCAGAGTTGGGTCCTATAGTGCATGCTAAATGCAGGCAAGAGGGTAGTCAAACAAAACGGTTGCGGAGGAGTTAGCATAGTGGTTTCAAGAAGTAGATGAACTAATTCACAGCATCTAGATATATTTGAGAAGATGATTTAGAGTTCGGAGTGTAAGAAAAGATTTAAGGCTTGTTCATAGGCAGAGAGCATATAAGTTGTTCTTATTGATTGTTTTTCATGTACAAACCATGATTCAAGTTTAATAAAGTCAATATGTTTTCCCATCTTTTGCTTCTATGCTATTTATTCTCTCTCTCTCTCTCTCTCTCATCCGTACTAATCTGTCCTTGCCATCTTTAACTTGAATTGTTTGGTTGACAAGTAACTTCAGCTATTTATAACTTTTGCATCTTCTGGATTTATGTCATTAATCCCAGCCGTCTATTAAAAAATGTTCATTTAAATACAAAATACTACGTGGTTGCGATCATTTATGTGCTTGTGGGGTGAGTCTTATTTGAGGAATCTCTCAATTGAAGCTCCTTCGACATTGACATGTACGTATAATTAAGCCTAAAGAATTTAAGAATCTTTGGCAAGAAAACAAGTGATTTCACTTTGAAAACCTTTGGAGGATCAAATGTGTGACAAAAGAACACAAATACTCAAAACTGACTCTCAAACATTGCAATAAACAAACGTCGACAGAATATATTCACCAAATTTCTTTGGCTATGAAGATACAGAGAAGAATCTCATCCGCCAAGAAGAACCTTCCAGTTCGAGAGGTGGCTGCTACCTCACAAATGAACTCCATGAGCTTGATTTGGGGAACTTGGGACTGTTGCTTCAGTACAGATTTGATTACACGATTTTGCATCGCTTGCTGCATAGGGATGGAGTCTTTTATTCTTGCATACATGGATTGCCCGGCTTTTGTGGTTTAAAAAAGAACCTACTCAAAATATTTGTTTTTTGAAAGGTCGGTCTTGAGTGGACATGGAAATGGACAATCTTGGTTCCTATTTCCCTGTAAGTATAAATATAACGACTCTCGTAGATATATTTTATCTCGTAATCATGCGCGTGGCTCACCGTTGTACTTTTTATTTAGTGTTCAACATTGTAATTTTAGATTGGTGCTGTTCTCACAGGTCTCGGATATTAATCTTTAGGTGGTATTAAGACACCAATGAAAAGGATTCCCCATGGTTGGGATACCGCTTGGATTCCCACGGAAAAACTTTCTTTGAACGAGGCATTGAAGGGGTAGAGAACGCTGAATCATTTGATCCTTGAGATTTCATCTATTTGTTGACAAAATTCGTCTATAGACGGCTACTTAGGCTATTCGCGTTCTTCGTTCCTGGTGTCCCAGTCCAAAGACACTAAGAAGATGTAGGTTTTGAGGTCTGTTAGTTTGTATCATAAGATATATTGACGTACATCTTATATTCACAAGATTTAGGTTCCGCTTCAGTCCCGGTTTTCCGCAATAGCTACGATGGTACCTACCGGAAACTATATAACGGTTATGCAGCCGGAAACCGGAAATCCTCAAAATATTCAGTTGCTTTCTGCTAAATACTGGAAATGGAGCATGAGTCTCAGTGTTACTGTTCGATACCAGCCAACCTAAATTGTGCACATGCTCAATAGTTAGCAACTAGAGGTGGGCACTATCCAGTTTGACCCGAACCGAACCGATTCGGTTCGGTTCTTAATATTGACAATGATGATAAAGAAACCGAACCAATTCGGGCCAGGCCGGTTTGAGGGATTTCAAAGGTTTGGGGAGGAGTACGTGGATTTGGAAATAACTTCACGGCATTAGTGTGGTGTGATTTCAAAAAGAAAAACAATATTAAATTGATTAAAAAGAAAAAGAAAAGTAATAATTAATTTTTTAAAACAAGTGTAAGTGATGAATTGTCTTAACGGTTATAGTTTTTATCTTTTAACATGTAACATTTTGGGCTCAAATATTATTTTCTCATGTAGGTTAGTGTTGAATATCATTTATAATAATAATATAATAAAAAAGTCTTTTAGGAACTATTTCAATTAAGGAATTAACTTGACTCCTCGATAGATAAGAAGGAATTCTTGCTTTGTTACTGATTTATTAAACTTCGGACGTATAATCAAAACGGTTATATTATTAATTACTATGTAAAGATCAATTTTACAAATTAATTTAAAATAAGATCGTTTAGTTATTGAAATATTCAAAAAAATAAAAAAAAACACGGATGGCAAAATTTTTTAACGAGGAAGGAGCCAAGCTTTCCTCTTCACATGATGTAACTAATGGTACAATTCTTAGGGAAACACAAAACTCATTAACGGTGAAATACACCCACCCTTCCCACCACCGGCGACCCCAACCAATCATCCTCCGTCTCATCCTCCTCCTCCTCCTCCTCCTCTCTCTCTTTCTCTCTCTCTGCCGGAGCAGCTGCTAATCTTATTGCTTGGGTGAAGTCTCTTCGAAGCTGCTCCAAGATACTTCCCAAGGTTAGTTCATGCTTATAGTTTGATAATATCAATGTCCTTCGATGCACGCCAAGTGTTTGACGAAATGCTTCATATGCATATGCATCTGCACTGCTGCACATTGTGCTTCTCCCTATAGCGCAATGCACGCCACATGTTCGACAAAATGTTGAACATACATATCGCAATTGCCCCATTCTTCTCACTGTAACTGAATGCCCGCCCTATGTTTTGTTTTTGCAGAGGGCCTCGTAAATCTCTGAAACGGCTCTGCCTCGCGAGCAGTACAAGTAACACAAGCAACATTTTTCTTCTATGTCTTATGAAAAAGGGCTTGCTGTTGCCAGAAAAGCTGCCTCTCTCACTGCTCACCTCTGCCATAAGGTACAAAAGGTGGTTGTGGAGTCGGGCACTCGTTCAAACTCAGAAAAAGTTAATACTGCCGCAGCAGCAGGTTATGATAGAGCTGCGGAAAGAGTACAAGAATATGCAGATCATTCTGCTGTTGCCAGTGCTGCCGCTGATGGTGTCAATAGTGGCATTCGTAAAATGAAATTGGCAGAGAACTTAGCCTGTCTGGTGGAGCAGTCCTCTCATATCGATGAGAGAAGACCCAAGGGCCGAATGGAACTGAAGAGGTGTCTTGAATTGCGCATAAAGAAGAGAGTGAAGGAACAATACATCAATGGGAAGTTTCGAGACCTAATGGTAAAAGTAATTGCCAATCCAGAAACTCTTCGAGATGCTTATGATTGTATTAGACTCAACTCAAATGTTGATATAGCATTAAGCGATGCGAAAAACTCTTTTGATTCTATGGCTGAAAAGATGCGTCATGGGAGTTTTGATGTTAATGCCAATACCTTTTCCATCTCAAAAAGGGGTGTAGGGAATGAAGTCTTAGTACTTCCTAATCTAAATCTGAAGGTCATTCAAGAAGCCATCAGAGTTGTTATTGAAGTTGTTTACAAGCCCGACTTCTCTAAGATTTCACATGGTTATCGAAGTGGGAGGGGACATTCCACAGCTCTGAAGTACATTAGCAAGGAGATTTCAAATCCTGATTGGTGGTTTACAGTGCTCTTAAATAAAAAGCTAGATGCTTGTATACTTGGCAAACTCTTAACAGCAATGGAGGGCAAGATGGTAGACCCCAGCCTCTTTGATATGATCAAAAGCATGTTTCATGCCAATGTGCTCAACTTGGAGTTTGGCGGTTTCCCGAAAGGTCATGGTCTTCCACAGGAGGGAGTATTGTCCCCTATATTAATGAATATATATCTCGACGAATTTGACCGTGAATTTTACAGATTGTCGATGAAATATGAAGCTCTCAGTCTAGATTCTCAAAATGATCAAAAGTCCCAGTCTAAGCTGCGCGGCTGGTTTAGGAGACACCTGAAAGGTAATAATGATCTTGGCTGTGCGGGTGAGGAGAGTTGTAGCGCAAGGGTCCATTCTTGTCGCTTCATGGATGAGATTTTTTTTTCGTTTTCTGGTTCTAAGGATGCTGCTCTTGAGTTCAAATCTGAGGTCCTAAATTACTTGCAGAAGTCTTTGCACTTGGAAGTCGATGATCAAACAGAATTATTGCCATGTCAAAAACCGCATGGGATTCGCTTTTTAGGCACTTTGGTTAGAAGAAATGTGATAGAAAGTCCTGCCACAAAAGCAGTCCACAAGTTGAAGGAAAAAGTTGCTTTGTTTGGTCTACAGAAGCAAGAGGCCTGGAATGTTGGGATGGTTCATATAGGGAAGAAATGGTTAGGTCATGGTTTGAAGAAGGTCAAGGAGTCAGAGATCAAGCATTTAGCTGACAGTAGTTCTGTTCTGAGCCAAATTTCCCATTTCCGTAAGTCTGGTATGGAAACTGATCATTGGTACAAGCACTTGTTGAAGATATGGATGCAAGACGTCAATGCCAAAGCAGAAGAGAGTGAGGAAGCTGTCCTGTCTAAGCATGTAGCAGAACCAGCTCTACCCGAAGAGCTAACAAACTCCTTTTACGAATTTCAGAGACAGGTGGAAAAGTATGTTTCTTCTGAGACCTCTTCTATTCTTGCCCTTTTGCCGAATGCCAGTTCTTCCACTGAATCTGTCGTCATCACTGAGATAATTGCTCCTGTTAATGCCATTAAAAAGCGTCTCCAACGATATGGATTGACCACATCTGATGGTTATCCCCGTAGATCATCTTTGCTTGTTTTACAAGATAATGACCAAATCATCGACTGGTTTTCAGGTATTGTTCGCCGTTGGCTGAGATGGTATGCTGAGTGTGTAAACTTTAATGAGGTAAAGCTGTTGATTTCGGATATAGTTAGAAAATCTTGCATCCGAACTCTTGCAGCGAAGTATCGTGTGCATGAAAATGAGATAGAAAAACGTTTTGACACAGAACTAAGCAGGATTCCGTCTACCCAAGAAATAGAACAAGAGATGGTTGATGAGACATCAGATACTCAGGCGTTTGAAAACGATGAGGCATTAATGTATGGAATTTCTTACAGTGGCTTGTGTTTACTCTCCCTTGCAAGAATGGTGAGCGAGTCAAGGCCTTGCAATTGTTTTGTGTTCGGGTGTATGGCTCCAGCACCGAGTGTTTATACCCTTCATGTCATGGAAAGGCAGAAGTTTCCGGGGTGGAAGACGGGGTTCTCCAGTTGCATTCATCCCAGCTTGAATAGGAGGAGAATTGGATTGTGCAAGCAGCATTTGAAGGATTTGTATCTTGGTCATGTATCACTTCAGTCCGTTGATTTCGGGGCGTGGAAATGATTTGCTTAAATTAAATATAAGCTTATTCAGCAACATATTTAGACGAGCCAAATACGAGCCAAGCTCAGTACGAATGCATAAGTTCACCAAACACTGTATTCGTATTATTTATTCCCATTCGAAACCTTATAAGGTATGCCAAACACGACCTTAAAATGAAAATATCATATTAAAAAGTTGAAAACACTTCATGGAAAAAGAAAAAAAAAAGAAAAAAAAAGGCAATGATGTTAGAAAAAATAGATGTGGAAAAGTGGCTAAACTTAAGAGAAAATACAGATGATTGACTAGGGGTGCGCAAGGGTTGACGAGCTGCGGCGGCCTGTGACCACTCCCATGGCTGGTACTCTGCCGGAATTTTCCGTGTAGCTGGTGGGATTGGAAATTACCCTTGCACATCTAGTTTGATAGCGGAAGCAAATGCAGTTAGGGCGGCCCTTGTAGCTTCTACGGAGAAAGGTTTTTTGGACGTACAGGTCGAATCTGAATCTTATAGAGATGATTAATGGTACTTTGCAACCGGAGGTAATGAGTGAAGGTATCCTATTTGGTATTTAGACAATTACAACAACAACTGAGGTCACTAGAATTTCGTTTTACTCCCCGTGTTTGTAATAGGGCAACACATTTAGTTATATTTTTTTATGTTTAAGGAAGATAACATTCATAGTTGGAATAAGTTTGAATCAGAATGGTTGTTTAACACTTTGATATTTTACGTAAACATTTCGATTCAAATTTAATCAAAATTTCTATCATTTGAATTAAAGGAAAAAAAAAACCAAGGGTGTGAAGAAAAACTGAAAAATCGGAACCGAAACGTATCGAACGGTTCGATTTTTTCGATTTCTTCGATTTCAGTACAAAACCGTACGGTTCTCTAACCTAACGGTTTCGGTTTCTTTATTTGCAAATCTGACCTTTCTGAAAAAACCACATGTCAGCCTTCTATTGGTTTTCAGAAGAGCTTATACAACATTCTGTGGACTTGTCCACACCATAGCCAACTTCATTCATCTCCCTTCTTTCGGTAGACTCTCTCTCAACTTCATTCATCTCCTAACGCACTGTCTCTCTATTCTCTCAGCCTCTCTCTCAACTCTTTCGCCGGCGATTTCTGCTGCGAATTGCGAACAGCTGATCCTCTGAGAACCCGACTATTGATCCCGTGTCCGCCTCTCATCGCCGCCGAAAGCAACCTCGGCGCCGTTGCGGGCGGAGGAACGCCGCATAAGAGCCACGGAGCACGCTACTACTGGTAATTTCTCTTTTCTGATTTTATACGAATTGTTTTTTTGATGAGAAAATACGGAAAACTAGAAAAATGTTTTGAATTTAGGGTTTTCAATGCACTAATTTTGAGTATGATTTGTCATGGGTTTTGGGTATCCTTTCTCTCTTGTGCTCTTTTAACTGCCTGCATCAACCCGTCTTCGATTTTTTACTTCTCTTCCAACTTATGCTGTCAATGATATTAGATTCTTATATGTTGCATAAAATTGCTTTACGATTTTGAGCTTGCTTTTCGGTTTGAGTCGCGGCGGGTTGGTGCAAATTGTTCCTGGAAGTTTTTCTGCAAATTCAAGTGTCTAACAGACTGGTAACATTGCACAGTTCACAATACCATCTTCCATTTTTGTACTTTGTCAAAAGTAATTTTATGTTTCATTATTCAATAAGGATTTGGTTTCCTTTATCCTAGTTCATTAGAATTTTCTATTGACTGTATAAAGGCTAGTTTAGAGGCCTTGCGGGGTCTTCGAAAGTAGAAACTCTTGATATGAAATCGGGCATTTTGATATAAATTGATAGGCGCCTTTCTCTCTCTTTGATCCAACGTCTCTCTGCTCTCTGCTCCTCTCGCAATCCGACTTTAGGGTTTTGAAGATCTCAACATGTAAAATTTTCTTTTCGAATTTCATTTTGCCCCCTTCTTCGTTCCAACCAAGCAGTGCCTAGGGTTTCCCGCTTATTTGAATTTTGAAGATTCTAATTTTTTCAATTGATCTGGTTTGAAATCTGGGTCGCTATAGTTCTTCGTTGCTGTTATCCTCTTTGCCCGCATCGTCGATTTTATCATTCTCCATATTATTAAATTGAAGAATTCGATTCAGTAATAGCTCTGTTCTGCGATGTTAGTGATTTCCAGGGCAGGTTTGCATAGAAGATGAGCAACCCTTCTGGAGGGACGACATCAAAATCAAAAGCGGGTGGCTCCCAGCCATCTGAAAGTTCAAATAAGCGAAAACGCGGAGTCTTTCAAAAAGAATGTATGTTTACAGTTATAATCATTGTGTTTAGCAAACTACTCTGTGCCAACTTAGTGTGTTTATGGGTTTTATTCAAAATGTTGACACGAAATGTGTTGTGTATGTTACAGTGCAGCACATGATGTATGGTTTTGGAGACGATCCTAATGTAAGTAGCACTATCTAATTTGGGACTTGGAGTTATTTGTCAGGCTGTGATGTGATATTTAAATAGATGACGGGTATTTGGATGTTGGCATGCCCCACTTCTTGTGGTTCGGTTGGAGCTTAACGTGTGGTTCTTTTATTCTTTGGTTTCTGTTGCAACTAAAATTGACTTATCCAATTCTGTTACTTTCAGCCTCTTCCAGAGAGTGTGGCACTCATGGAAGACATCGTTGTGGAATATGTGACTGATCTGGTAAGCTTTTCTCAAGGGTAGTTACTATTCATCATGCAAATGAGATAGTATGCCAAGTATTAACCCAAATATGCAACACTTCTGCAGGTGCATAAAGCCCAGGAGATTGGATCAAAGAGGGGAAGGTTATCTGTTGATGACTTTCTGTACTTAATTCGCAAGGTATATTCTATATATATTTCCACTGCATACTTTGATTGTGTGGGAATAGTTTTATGCCATTTGAAATTTCATGTTACGGGCATAAAAATCGAGTTACTTGTAATCGATTGGTCAATAATTTTATTTCATTTGGCAGAGATACTTTATGTAGGTCTTTGCAATTTGTTGTGCTTTTGACTTACACGGTAGGAGGAAAAAAAAAACAGAAAGGCATGAACATGGCATTGTATTTTCTCATTAGCATAAGAGAAACACCACTCATTGAATGGATAGAATGACACTAACAGGACCTCTTTATAATATTGATGGCTGAACATGACTAACGTTTACGTTACTTGACAGAGTTATGTTGTCACTTGTTGATCATCAATTTTATGTTAATTTCGTCCACTTTTAAAAATTTTGTCAATTTTGTGTTAATAGCGTAAAAAGAATCTGACATAAACACTGATGTAAGTGTCGTAAACTCCCCAGGATTTTCCGAAACTCAATCGCTGTAGAGAATTGCTGTCAATGAATGAAGAGCTGAAACAGGCAAGGAGAGCTTTTGAGACAGATGAGGAGAAGCTGAGGAAGGCTTTTGAGACTGATGAAGAGAAAATGAGGAAGGCCTTTGAGGCAGACGAAGATAAAGTCGGTTCAACGGAGTAACGGGACTGTGTCTATTTAGGCTTGTTCCCCTGTAATTATTTTTGCTCGGGAATTCGTTGTTTCACTGTATCTTTAGGTTGAAATTTTGTTTAAATCCATCCAACAAAATATTGAGGGTTGTTTAGCATACAGTTTGAAAAAAAAAAATTATAGTTTTCAGAACGGGAGAAAGTAACTTAGTATTTATGGGTTTCAAAAACACAAAAGTTGGAGATGCGTGACTTAGTTTGGGTTGAAAGACCCCCATCTTCTTTTGCGAGAATTCTGAACAAAGTTGGGCTTCCTTGTCCCCTATTTGAGTAGTTTTTGCTTTGTGGGATGACGTTTTTGCCATTTGTGGCTGCGTCTTTGTGTAATCCCATCTTACTATTGCTTATTCTATCTCTTTGTTAGCCTTCGTTGGCTTTCGTTGTTCTTGCTAGCCGTTGTGCCCTGGTTAATCCCAGTTCTGTTCAAAAAAAAAAAAAAAAAAAAAAAGTTGGATACCAAATAGGGTTGATTGAGAAGGAACAAAAACATAGACCCCTAGCCCTCTTTTTAACCCTTACTCGATTTACTTTTTGGTGTTTGATTGAGAAGGAACAATATTTTTCAAAAACTCTTAACAAATAAAAAGTATTCTTTTTTTCTTTTTTAGTTTTTTTCAAACATTAAAGATTTCTTTAAACTAAAAAGCTTAACTATTAAAATGGTATGTGTTTTAGTCATTAGGTCAATTAGTCATCGTGACATTTCTCATTGATTTGTGTTTTTATAGTAAATTTAAATAAAGAGAAAGGTTAATCTATGACTTTCGCAACTGTGGTCTACTTCTCAATTACGCAATCGGAGGTGATGTGGTTATGGTTGATTTTCTTGTGACTATGATGAAGGAACTCATGCGGTGGCAGGTGGGTTGAGGTGGATCTAGAGACTTGTTCGTTGAGTTGCCTGCGTGTGTGGCTAGCTAGGGTTGGGGCTTAGTTCAAGGACAAGGGGATGGCAGGGTGGGTTTGTTTAATTTTTTATTTATATTCTTTCCATTTTAACTGATTTTTTATTTTATTTTTTATAATAGGTTATGATATTATTTTTTTTTTTTTATAAATTCTTTAGCAAAGATTAGATGGAATGTTCTTAATTAGCTAAGAGAGATAAACAAGAGGACTAAATTGTCCAAATTGAAAACATGGGAACTAAATTGGCCAAATGACTATAACACATGAACCATTTTGACAATGAAGTTTTTTTTTTTTTTTTTTTTTTTGCAAGTATATTGACATTTTTACACTAAGGGATGGGGAATTTAGCTAAAAAAATATTGTGTCTCAAGTTCAAATGGTCTATCTCTTTCATAAGGGAGCTTGGCTCCTTAAGACTAAGGAGAAGTTCCTCCTCATTTTATTTCGTGTCCGATTCACAAAACTTTTTGATTATGATCGAGACCGTTTATATTATAAATCGATATGTAAAGTTCATCTCTGCAAAAATTAAATAAAACGTCGTTTAGTAGATCAATTATACCAAATAGATAGACCGTTCATAATATTTTTACTGAATTCGTCTATCATTTTTTATATAGTTTGATGACTAAATAATATCTTGTTTTAATGATTTTTTAAATAGTGATGTATAATATTAGCGAACGATTAAAAAAAATCAAAAATAAAGTGTTTTACGAAAAAATTAATCATTCATACGGATAGAAAGAAATTACAAAAAATGGTATGTTAGTGTCATTTTAAAACGATTTAAAGTATTCGGAAGTTTCATAAATGGGTCCCGAAATAAAATTGAGGAAAAACTAATCCTAATGAAAAGTTCCCCTTGACAAAAAAAAAAAAGCTCAAAATAAATAAATAATTAATTAATAGAGAACCCCAAACAAGAGAAGTGGTCCAAATTAGACAGATAATTCCCATAAAATAACTCGATAAATCAGATATAGAAATTATCCAACCAAAAAATAAAAATAAAAAAATCCGATATAGAAATAAACACCAACGGACTCGATATCTCAGAATTTTTCTGGTAAAAGAAAACGATGACTTGGTTGGGTGCTACCTCTTCTTCTTCCCCATGGATTCTCAGGAACTCGCTTCTCACAACATCCACAACCTCTTCATCTTCTTCTTCCTCTTCAAAATTCTCGAAATACCGATCATGCCCTCGTCCTCTTCGCCTCTCGAGCCGCGCCCAATCCGACGTTGGCAGTGACTTCAATTTCGTGCTCCACGATGCTCTCGATTCTTCCGGAACCCTCACCTGCCTCGCCAGAGTAAGAAATTTACCTACTTCTTCCTGATAAATTATAAATTGTTCTTCTTTTAATTTTAACTTTTTAATTATTATTTTTAAATTGATGAAATGAATGCATTAGCTTCACTTTAATCTAGTTTTTTCCCCCAATTTTTAATGTAATTGTTCAGCATATGTTCCCATTTCATTTCTTGAGCTGGAAGATAATCATATATCAGTTTCATGCGTTTAGTTGGCTATAATTTACAAAATATATAAAAAAATTGGGTAATTTGCATAATAAATTGAAATGAAATTGAGGTATCATAGTGAGAATAATTTCAAGAAATGATCAAACCATGATGATGCAAGAAACATGTTATCGTCGTTTTCGTTATTTCCGTTATTTCTTAACAAAGAATGTTAACCATGCCATTCTTATTGGAGTTTAGTTTTTAACGAGAACATCGTCCTTAATTTGTCTAGCAAGGTTTTGAAACAATTTGTATCTGTTTCTGTGTTTTTGTTTTTACGGCTATTACTTGATCGATTGGAGCCAAAAGCGGAAAGAAAAATAAACACAAGGAACTTCACATTGCTTTCGGTAGGTACAATTGAAGCATATTGATGAAGTAATATAAACAAGTTTTCCCTTTATAGTATTTTAATAGGGAGAAAGAACAAGAAAAACAGCGAGCTAAACAAAATGAAATAAGGCGTTTCTAGCTCTAGTTTCGGATGAGCTTCTCTCAGTTATGTATGGTAGTGTTTCATCCATTATAGGTTCTATTGATTTTCTAGGAGTCAAGAGAGGTTGAGAGTACCAAGCCTTCTAAAAGTAATATGGCGTGTTGAGGTGCGAGGTATAAACTGTTTCTTAAAATGATATACTATTTTATCGTGACCTACCTCAAAAATTTAGATAAGTTGTTTTCCTTACTTTTCTGGTTTTCCCACTTTAATGCAAAACTGTTTTGTATCATATTAGACACCTTGTAAATTACATTGCACGATACATTTTTCCGACCACCCAGTTTAGGTCAAGACTATCGCAACTGTCAATTGGATAATTATGTTCATTTGCTGGATTAACTGTTCTCGTGCATAGGTCAAATGTACACTTCTTTTGGGAGTAATTTTATACTTTGTTATGATGCAATGTCTTTTTGTATTTGTTTGATAAAGACTATGTATGCTTGATTATGCAATGGGGTTTACTTAGTTTGGATTTTGATTGATATATAATTGAGAAACAACCAGGAGGCCAGGGAGGGGTTCTGCTCACAAATTCGCCATCTGTCCGATATAGAGAGGGAAACCAGCATTACCATCAATAGATGTGTTGATTTGGGGAAAACTGCTCTTTACATTGCAGCAGAAGATGACTCCCTTGTGTCACATTCTTCAGTTCCACTTCCGGTGGATGCTTTTATTAGTAGGTTTGGTGATCTTTCCATGGACTATTGTTCTCACCACAACTCTTCATTTAGATCCTCGCCTGAGAAATTGTTGGAGAGTTTGGAAAACTATTTGTACGTAAATAAGGTATGTTGATTGATAGAGTTTTTGTTTGCAATAACTTGAATTATTATTCCTTTGTAGTTGATTCAAAGTTGAACTTAAAAACTCTTAAGTGATTCATTTTATTTTTAACTAAATTTTAGCTTGGTAGGGAAACTGCCGAACTTATAATGCTGAAGGAATGTGGCAGGGAGAAACTAAGATAAACTTCATATCGGGAAACAATTACTTTGTAGCAGAAAAGCTATCATTTGTTTTAAATAAATCAGGATCTGTGTATCTTCTTGGCTCTTCCCCTTGCTGCAAAATTCTTGCTTTCGCTGACTATTTTTTATCTGCTCTTTTTTTCAGGGTTTTCGAAGGACGATTGCAAGGTATCACTCTGAATCACGGGCTCTATATCTCCACTCAGTATGGAAGTCTGCCTTACTTATTTGTTATTTCAAGGTTGCGAGAACAGTAGAATATGGGGATTGTTTTCAGGAGTTTAATGTTGATGTTGCAAACAGGTTTTGACACATCGTTCAGGATCACCTGCAATGCTTTCACTCATATACTCAGAAATTTTGAAAATGCTTCGCCTATGGGGTTTTTTGGATTTCGATGTGGAGATATTCTTTCCTCATGATCTTCATAGTCTTCCCCGAGGTTATCATAAACAGAAAAGCAAGGAATCTGATAATGTCCACATAATGACTTCACAAGCCCTTTTAGTGGAGGTGACTTATGTTTTCATGTTGAAATTTTTTTGTTTTGCCTTAATTTGTTTTGTCCTATGTCAGCGAGTTGTGTACGCTAAAACTCCTAGTTCTCTCACCCTGTGTTTGGATGAGGGATTTGAAAATGCCAAGAGGTTTTGGATAAATTAGTTAGAATTCAACCACAAAACATTCGATATAGATATTTTAAATGAGCAATATGATCATATTGCCTGTGGTTTTTTGTTAATTGATTAGTTCCTTTGTCATTTATCTTTGGTTATGGCAATGCAATCTATGTTATTCAAATTGGTTCCATGTGCTCTAGATTACCCACAGGTCCTCCTACTTTGAAAGTAACTTGTATAATTAGTCCGAATACTACCAAACTGCCTTAAGTTGGTACCATATATTTAGTCTGAATATTATGGATATGGACCTGACTTGGTATCATATCTACAGGTCCTCTGAATCATGATATACAATTCACCAATGAGTACGATAGTTTCTGTTCACCAACCTTCATCCAACGACTGTTAATTTTTTTTTTAAAGAAGAGAAACGTTCTCTCTGCTAGGATGTAGATTTCAACCATTAGATTTCGATTGAGCAGTTGTAAGCATAGATTTTGGTGAGTAGAACTATAGATTATCGATTATGTGTGTGCATCTTTGTGTACATTTGATTGCTTGGTTAAACTTGTTTTTGATGCGAATTAAACTTGTTTGCGACTTGTGCATTTTTGAACGACAATGAATATTTGTTTTACAAAGTATTATATATATTTATATATATATATATATATATATATTTATATATATATATATAGGTCTCGTGAGGCGAAGGCGGGGTTATCCATGGAACGTTTCACCCACGCCTTTGCCTTTTAAGGCATTGAATTGTATGTAGATACATATTTGGGTAACATTTGATAAGGTCTATAGACATGTGTCCAAGCCTTTAATCTTAGCTATATCTGTTCTCATAGTTTACTGTATGTACAGATTTTAAGAAATTTGAAGGATGCATTCTGGCCGTTTCAGCATGATCAACCAGGGAATTTGTTCTTGAGGGCAGCACGTGCTGCTAACTTTATCGATAGATCAAACATAAACGAAGACAGGTACTTTGTCCAAAATGAATGTAGTTTCAACTGAAGACTAATATAAGTTAAGTGCATATATGTGAGGATCCTTTCTATTTTTGCAGTGGCTTTCAGCTTGCATCTGCGAAGGCTGCTCAACATAGACTAGATCGTGGTGTTTGGACTAGTGTACATTTTGGGGATATGAGGCGTGCCCTATCTGGTACGCATTTATTGAATCGTATTTAATCCCAGTGTCAAGAAGGTAATGTCAAAGTCAATAGATTATGCTTCTTGAAGCTGTTGAAGCGGTAACATAGATTGAGATGTCACCAGGAATGTCTTGGGACAATTGTAGTTGCATTTTCTGGAGGACAGGGTCCGACTCCTTACCAATAAGTCATTTCAAGTAAAATAACGTGTTATCCATAGCCATCTTTAAATAAAGTTGTAGAAGCATCTCTAACCTGTTTGAGGTCCCGTGGTGATTTTTAGTTAATAGTAGGATTTGATTTTTCAAGTTAAGTTCTTGTACTGCAATTTGAAATTTGAAATTTTATCGTCACCGTTGGACATATTGTGCCCGCTGCCACATATTGTTATCTGAACATTGTGTCTATTGTTACAGCTTGTGAACGTCTTATTCTCCTGGAAGCTGATCCGAAGGAATTAAGAGATTACAGCATTCTTCTCTACCATTGTGGATTTTACGAGGAATCACTTGAATATCTAAAGTTATATCAGGACAAAAAGGTACGTTTTCTAACTTCTATATGTATGACGACATACAACCTTGATGGCAAATCTTTTAAGGTACCTTCATATGGATTTTTCAGGGTCGTCCACTACGGAGGCGACCGTCTGATTCGTTAACCGTTTTGGAGGAAGATGCCGCAGAGAAATTGATGATACGCCTTAACCTAATTCTGATGGAGGATGGTTGGAGCAGGCCGTCGTATATTAGAAACTTTCTTGGTAACAACTCTGAACCATGGTAGTCTTCGCATATATTATTGCAGATAGCAGTACAAACCCAAATCAATAGGAGGTTCATGTAAACCGGCAAAGCGGCATCCTGGAAAAGTTTTGCCAAATATGCGGTGTTTTCTATCCGTATATAACAAGATGAACAAAACCGGAGATATGAGTCCTGCCACATTCTGCATTTTCCCATATGGTGCCAGTTTTTTATGTAGTAATTGTGTTGACCGATCATCAGTAAATTTGAACGCCGGAATATTGGAAGAATGAACCGGCAAAATTTACGACAGCGGAGGTAGTAGGTGGTCTATTATCTGCTTGTGATACTCTTATGTAAATTCATGTATATAACAAATTGTTGCTTCATTTGTGATTTGAGTAATAACAAATTTATGTGGAATCATATATCTACATAGTGTGTAATCTAAATAAGGAGAGCAACTTAGGTCCGTTTCGTAACCATTTGGATTTCAGTTTTTAGTTTAGTAGTATCGTGCGCCCACTCTGGTACGATAGGAACTCTCTTGTAAGTTACAAAGAGTGACAGAACAAACAAGTGGAACTATAAAGAGTGACACAGGATAGACAAATATTAGTGGAACGCATAGTGTACTGTCTGAACACATGACAATCGTCCATTGCACTGATGTTGCTTTAGCAAAGTAGAAAGAAAGCACTCATCCACTGAATATGTGACAATAGTCCATTGCACCTATATGTTGCTTTAGCAAAGTAGAAAGAAAGCAACCAGCACTCATCCCACCGACACATTTTTCGCCTAGACTTTTTCGGATCTGGATCCTCTCCTGAGCTAATGGAGAGATCCTCCTCATCAATCATCGTGGGTCGTTGAATTTTTATCCAACGGCTAAAACAGGGAGGTCTCTTTAAAGTTATAATGATTGTAATCGTTGGATAAAAATCTAACGGCCCACGATGATTGATGAGGAGAATCCTCTCCATTAGCTCAAGAGAGAGGATCCAAATCCGACTTTTTCCACCCACAAAACAAGGCACAACCACCAATTCGCTCTTTATGCTTTAACGTGTGTACTCCACTGACTTATTGGCCAGCTCAATTTTTTGTTTTTTTGTTTTTTTTTAAATCTTGTGACATTAGCAATATGTTATATGTATTACTAGTTTATTTGTTTGTGATATTAATATTAACTTTTAATTATTACTATCAACGTTGAAAGGTTGTGAAATTTTGAAGAATTGATTGAGAAATCAGATGAGAGATCAGTGAATGATATCATAATTATTTTTTTATATATAAAGATTTGATGGTATTTGATAAGCTGTCATGCAATGTTTTCAAAATATAAAACATGTCGAACGATATATTATATGAAAAATTAATAAATTAATGGAAGTATTTTATTTAATAAGTTTTTTAACTTTTTAATTTGTAACCTTATTATTTGATAATGCTTCCATTCATGCAGATATCTAGTTTTATCCGGAGGTGTACAATATACTGTGTGAACACATGACAATTCGTCCGTAGCACCGACGTTACCATTGTTACTTTTCCACTCACTTACCCCATCCAACCGACGCATTTTTAGCCTACAGTTTTCCACTCGCAAACAAAGCGCGACCACAAATTCTCTCTTTATGCTTTAACGTAAAGCATCACTCCAAAATGTGAATTTCATAAGAGTATCTGGTCGTCCTACTCCCAAATGTGAATTTCATAAGAGTTTAGCTTCAGTTTCCATTACAAAACGCTTCTCTCAGACTACTAGTTTCCAGAAAGAAAGAAAAAAAAATGGCTTTGATTGCAGAGGCTTTTCTCTCTGCTTCCATCCAGACGCTGTGCGACAAGATTGGTTCTGGCGAGTTGATGGACTTCTTCTGGGGAAAAAAACTTGACTATTCACTCCTGAAGAAACTGAAGCGGACGTTTCTGGCCCTTGATGCAGTGCTTGATGATGCAGAGGAGAAGCAGATGGAGAAACCCCGTGTGAAAAAGTGGCTTGACGAGCTCAAACATGCTGTCTTCGATGCCGAGGACCTGCTGGATGAGATCGATACTGAAGTTTTGCGAAGCAAGGTGGAAGCTGAATATCAAACGAAGAAAACCCAGGTGTGGAACTTCTTCTCTACTCCTAATCCTTTTTATCAGGGCATGAATGGTAGGATTCAAGAGTTACTTGAAGAACTAGAAAACCTTGCACAACAGAAACGTGTGCTCGGTCTCAGAGAAGGTGTCAGGGGCAAGCTTTCACAAAGAACTCCCACAACTTCCTTCGTTGAGCATGAATTCTGTACTTATGGTAGGGATGAAGATGAAGCGAAGTTGAAAACACTGCTGCTATCTGATGATGGAAGGGGCGGCAATACATCTGTAATCCCCATATGGGGAATGGGAGGAGTTGGTAAGACAGCCCTTGCTCAACTCCTTTACAATAATGACAGGGTGAAAGAGCATTTTGATGTTCGAGCTTGGGCGTGTGTCTCCGAAGACTTTGATGCTGTTAGGGTCACTAAAACCCTTCTTCAGTCAATTGCTTCAATACCCTGTGATAAGTCAGATATGAGCTTGCTTCAAGTTGCTCTTAGGGAACAACTAACGGGGAAAAGGTTTCTACTTGTGTTGGATGACCTTTGGAATGACGATTATAATGATTGGAGTGTTCTTCAAGCTCCTTTCACTTATGGGGCGAGGGGAAGTAAGGTCATTGTGACAACAAGGAACGAAAGTGTTGCATCCATCGTGCACACTGTTCCTATTCACTCTTTAAAACAATTGTCGCATGATGATTGTTGGTTGTTACTTGCAAAACATGCGTTTAGAAATGAAAACGCTATTGCACATCCAGACTTGGAAGAAATTGGTAAAAAAATTGCACGTAAGTGCAATGGTCTGCCTTTAGCTGCGAAAACACTTGGAGGTCTCTTAAGTTGCCACATGGACTACAAGAAATGGAATTATATATTGAATAGCAATCTTTGGGAGCTACCACAAGCAAATAGTATTCTTCCATCTCTAAGATTGAGTTTCCATTACCTCCCGCCTTATTTAAAACAATGTTTCGCTTATTGCTCAATTTTTCCAAAGGACTATGAATTTAAGAAGCATACTTTGGTTCGACTTTGGATGGCTGTTGGTTTAATTTCACAAGCTGACGGCGGGACAAGAATGGAGGAGGTTGGAGAGAACTATTTGAATGAATTAGTATCACGATCACTAATTCAAAGATCAAGAACCGAGGAGCCTGGATTCACAATGCATGATCTCATTAATGACTTGGCTATGTTCGTGTCTAGAGAATTTTGTTTTCGGATGGATGAGGAAGGATCATATGAAGTTCCTAAAAGAGTTCGACATTTGTCATATGCGAAAGGATATTGTGATGCCGCTAAAAAGTTTCAGCCATTAAATGGAGTTAAATATTTGCGTACCTTCTTACCCATGTCTTTAAGGAAGACAAAGTGGGATTATGTAAGTAGTAAGGTTCCAAATGATTTTTTGCCAACCCTAAAATGTTCACGGGCACTGTCTTTGGCAAGATATAGAAACGTCAGTCACTTACCTGATTGCATCGGGGACCACATACATCTGCGCTACATTGACCTCTCTTTCACTGCTATTAAAAGGTTACCAGATACCGTGAGTGGTCTCTACAATTTGCAAACTCTATTGTTGGTAGGTTGTTACTCTCTTGTTGAATTGCCTGTAGACATGAGGAAACTGATTAATTTGCGCCATCTTGATATTAGCTATACTGGTATAAAAGAAATGCCGGTGCAAATGGGTAGACTAAAAAGTTTGAGAACACTCACTGGTTATGTATTGGGGACATCTACTAGGTCTGGTGGCATTGGAGAATTGGGGGAGTTGCCCAATCTTGGAGGGGAACTTTCTATCATGAATCTAGAGAATGTAGTCCATGTTGTGGATGCCTTGCGGGCCAATTTGAAGGATAAGAAAGATCTCAATGAAATAGAGTTGGCATGGGGTAGAGAGGATGCAGATGATTCCATAAAAGAGAGACAAGTACTGGAAAAATTACAACCTTCTGTAAATTTGGTGAAACTGACCATCACATGTTATGGTGGAACAAGCTTTCCGAATTGGTTGGGAGACTCTTCCTTCTCCAACATAAAAGTCATGCGCCTCAGTAGTTTTAGTAATTGTTGGTCGTTGCCACCAGTTGGGCAGTTGTCTGCTCTTAAGGAGCTCTATATATACAACATGAAATGTATTATGAGTATTGGTGCTGAGTTTTATGGTGTCAATGGAATTTCTCTAATTCAGCCATTTCGTTGCTTAGAGAAGCTGGAATTTACAAGGATGCCAGAATGGGTAGAATGGCTGCCAAGTCCGGGTAGAGGTCAATGTCCAGACTTTCCTCGTCTCGAGGAGCTGGTTTTACAGAGTTGTCCGAAGCTGAGGGGAAACTTGCCCGATCATCTTCCTCGCTTGAAAAAACTTAAAGTGTCCGACTGCGGGGTTCTGCATGAAGGGGCTACTAGGAGTAGGTGGATACCCTGGTCTCTCATTGTTAACGCGGAATCCTTGCGACAATCTCTTCAGGATCTGGAAATAAGAGGATGCCCTGGTCTCTCGTCGTTACTAGAGACGGAGACGCTGTCCTCGCTTTCCATGCTTGATATTCAAATTTTTAGTCGCACAGATTGCTTGCAGCCGCACTTGAGCAGTCGTCTTCAAAAATTGACTCTCCATGATTGCGGGTCCCTCCGGTCGTTCCCTAGAAATGGTCTACCCACTTCGTTGACACGTCTTTGTATAGAAAGTTGCAGGAGATTAGAATTCCTATCTCATGAGATGATGGCCAAATTGACATCCCTTCGATATTTGGCTTTAATTGATAGCTGTGATTCACTGAGGTCCTTCCCGCTGGGCGTTTTCCCCAAACTTTCATCTCTTGAGATCTGGGGCATTAAAAATCTAGAATCCCTTTCCATTGGAGAAGGAGCTGATGTTGAAAATCTCACTCATCTCGATTCTCTCTGTATCTATATTTGTCCAAATCTGGTCTCTTTTGCCCACGGGGGGTTGCCCACTCCCAACCTGTCTCATTTTGATGTCTATGGATGCGAGAATTTGAAGTTATTGCCCGATCGAATACACACACTCACCGCCCTTCGATATTTGCGGATATCTGGTCTTCCAAATGTAGAGTCATTTGCAGAAGGAGGTTTGCCTCCCAACCTACAATCATTTCAAATCGATGATTGTGGGAAACTGAGGCCTTCAGTGGAGTACTGGGGTTTGCAACGACTTGTCTCCCTTCGAACATTTCAGATCTCGGGAAGCGAGGATGTGTTGGAGACGGTGCTCAAGGAACAGCCGCTCCCTACCACTCTTCACACTCTCCAAATCTCTAACAATAAAAGTCTGAAATCTTTGGAGGGAAAGGGACTTCAACACC